CATGGCCATAGAAGAGGATGTAAACCATCCTTTGAGTTTAAAACCAACAGAACTTTGAGTGCACTACGCCGCCGCGAAAAAGGCTTTTGGGCGTGGTGCAATGCTTGCACTTAAGTTACAGTTAAAAGAGTTTGATAGCAGTGTGTGAGACCCTTAGACACAGGGTGCGACACACGCACGGACACACGCGCACACTCAGGAAATGCGTACGTATGGTCTGAATGCCACTTGCCCTGAAAGCTACCTAAGTAACTCAGACCTAAATCACCAGGGTTGAAGTGAAGAGGCGTCTAACCGAAGTGCAAACAAGTCCAAAGAATCTCGAAGTCCAGAGTTTCCGAAATCCAACGTCTTCAGAAGTTCGCGCCGAAAACGGCGACGAACGCATTAGCCCATGACGATTCACAGAAACTATTTCGTCATATTCAGAAACTATTTCGTCGTATTCAGAAACTATTTTCGTCGTATTCAGAAACTACTGTCCCTCATGCTCAGAAACTTTTATTTTTCCCGATGTGAACAACCACCTGCGTGGTCAGTTGATGGTGGGGTGGGGGGGTTGCGCGGACCAATGCTTTTGTGGGGTGGGGGGGGTGGTGGGGCTGGGCAGTAAGCTTCCGCGCATTGTTGAGGCGGGTGGCGTTGTCGAGTTTCGGAACCCAAGCGGCCAGTTTCCGAATACAACCGTGGAGTTTCTGAATACAGCCGTCTCAGTTTCCGAATACCAGTTTCCGAATACAACTGTGTAGTTTCCGAATACCAGTTTCCCAATACAACCGTCTAGTTTCCGAATACCACCCTTCCAGTTTCCGAATACAACCGCCTCTCTTTCTGAATGCCAGTTTCCGAATACAACCGTGCCTTTTCCGAATCCCAGTTTCCGAATACAACCATTCCAGTTTCCGAATACAACCGCCGAGTTTCCGAATACAACCGTCGAGTTTCCGAATACAACCGCCGAGTTTCCGAATACAACCGTCGAGTTTCCGAATACAACCGTGACCGACACGGCCGGACACAGCCGTTCACCGGCGCGGCCAAAGACTGTGGCCAGCTTTCTTTTTCCTAGGAGAGAACCCCAGCAGTAAACCATTTGGGGAAAACCTAAGTAAAGCCAGGCGGTGTGCAATCCGGCCCAATCATTTGAAACTCAAGTGCTCGAAGTCTAACAGCTCACAAGTTCACAGTTCTCCAAATGTTCAAGTTTGACGAACAGGAACGGATCGAAGTGCAAGTCCGCGCAACTTATTCGCTCCCTAAAGTAAGCCGGAGCACTGGCCGAGGTCTTGCTCTAATGGCAACCAGGGGCAAAGTAAGAAATGAAAGTCGCAATGCAGGTATGTCAGGGTGATCAGCCCTAAATCCTCCCAGGCTCATGGGTAACTTTGTTGGGTGTAGACTCATGGGTGGGCTATGACCCCTCCTTTAGCAGCAAAACCGAACGGTTCCTTATGACTCCAAAGGTTACACACACACACACTTAGTCATAGGGTTTTCTGTTAACTCTGTTCCACGCGAAAAGGGACGAAGGAACGGAATGGCGGCTGGGTCCAGCGACTTGAAGGTGTTTTAACAAAAGAGTTCGCGCGTGACTCCAGAAAACTAGTTACTGAATACTTCGCTGACCAAGGAAAGAAAAGTGTGAACCGAAAGGCGAAAAGTCAGAGTACTTGAAGGTGTTTGAACAAAGGTTAACGCGTGACTGCGTAAAACTAGTTACTGAATACGTAGCCGATCGAATTAACGCCGTGCGTAGAAAAGGGTTAGGGGAATATCATGCAACCACCCTGCAAACAAACCACAGCGAAGGAGGAGGTCAACAGTTCAAATTTCAGCAGGTACGTGGAAATGGCGTCCCTTTTCCATATCCTCGGATACGTCGCCAGCTTCGTTGACTCGTTGACCAGGCGACGATGTATCCTGCCTGGTCCCCTGCTTTTGCAGAACTAAGAACCTTTAGAACTCTTAGAAACAGAGTGTGACACACGCGCGGAGCCGCTTGGCGGCGCTCCCCGGACGTGCAGGTGTGCCGCGCGAGCAGCAAATTACGGGGCAAAACCTGAATAGGAACCTAAAAGCTTTAGAAACGAGAGAAAGAAAAACAGAAAGAGCAAAGCAAAAAGGGCAGGAGAGAAAGATAAGGGTAGCGAAAAATGACTACTTAGCCCTTGACTGGGGCAGGGAAACGAGCCTCAAGAACCACCTGACGAGCCTGAAAGAAAGCCCAAGAAACGACAAAAGCGCAAGAGAGAAAGAGGGGGGCAGGGAGGGGATGTATGTTCATGTGTGCGTGTTTGAATACTTAGCGCTCTAGTTACTGACTACTTAGCAGAAATCAATTACGCGCAGTAGCTAGGGAGCGGGACTTTATTCTTAAACCGGCCGGGTAGAGTAGACTAGAACAGGGACAACAGAGGGAAAGGCGCCGACGCGCAAGTGTGTCGAGTACCATTTCCCTTTGTTACCCTAATTAGAGGGGTGGTAGAGAGAAGGAGGGGGGGGCTCGCGGGGGTTCATTCTCCGTATGCCCGGCGGCGTCAAAACTCCGTGGCTCGGCAGCATGGGTGTCAGTTGATTCGTGGATGAAACAATTCAATCCAATATCATAATCCCAGAGCTCAAAAACGCAAAGTCAATATGTGATCCCCAATGGTTTCAGCGCTCCCTTGCGGGAGATCACACCCTGCACCCACTAGGACGACAGAGCGGCGCACACTTAGTCATAGGGTTTTCTGTTAACTCTGTTCCACGCGAAAAGGGACGAAGGAACGGAATGGCGGCTGGGTCCAGCGACTTGAAGGTGTTTTAACAAAAGAGTTCGCGCGTGACTAGTTACTGAATACTTCGCTGACCAAGGAAAGAAAAGTGTGAACCGAAAGGCGAAAAGTCAGAGTACTTGAAGGTGTTTGAACAAAGGTTAACGCGTGACTGCGTAAAACTAGTTACTGAATACGTAGCCGATCGAATTAACGCCGTGCATAGAAAAGGATTAGGGGAATATCATACAAACACCATGCAAACAAACCACAGTGAAGGAGGAGGTCAACAGTTCAAATTTCAGCAGGTACGTGGAAATGGCGTCCCATTTCCATATCCTCGGATACATCGCCAGCTTCGTTGACTCGTTGACCAGGCGACGATGTATCCTGCCTGGTCCCCTGCTTTTGCAAAACTAAGAACCTTTAGAACTCTTAGAAGCAGAGTGTGGCACACACACACATTTTTTCACATGACAAAATCCAATCCACCACTTGTTTGTTCCGGGTCTTGATGCAAACGAGAACTTGACATCTGGGGTCCATCTGGGGTCGTTCGTTTCTTTAATAACTTATTTTCCAATGCGTTCACAATTTTTCACTTTTTTGCCGCCGACACACAGATCGCCACTGCTAGAGCATGGGGTCTAAGAAACACTTCACTCAGCCACTCCAACTGCAGATTTCAGCTCCAGTCGCCACTCCGAGGTTGAGGCTCAACCACAAGAAATTTGCTGCATTCGCTGGGGGCCTTTAAGCTTGGAAGAAATGCCCGTGCCTCAGCTTTGGGGGAACCTGGACACGCCAGCCATGCTTACATTTCAAAGTCGCAGAGCGCAGTAACATGTTATCGCCCCAAACTCCTAGCCGCTTAGCCTCCAAACTGACTTTACCGTCATTGCGCGATCAGGTTGAAGGACACAATCACTCAATTGGTAATTGCTTTGATTTCACCCTGAGGTCATCCCCACAAAAAATTGGACAAATCCACACATTCCCTGTTCTGTCATCCAATGAGGAGTGAGCCGGGCTCCATGCGGCCTTTATCGCAGGAGCTTTGTTCCATTGTCCATTGACCAACACTTTGGTAGAACGCATGCGGATCTTTTGAACACAGTTCTCCAAGAGGCTTATATAGGGATAATAATCAGAGTTGTTCATTGCGACAACAGATTCTAGAGATATCATCCATACAAGTCGAGTCCATGCCCTGCTGTATTTTGTTGTATTCTGCTGTGCACTTTGTCCGTATTGCCGATTGCTGAACTGATGCCCGAGCCTTATGGCGTCAGGCCGAAGTGCAGACGTTGACTGATGCTTGTGGGATCAAAATGCCTTTGCCCTCTGCAGAGATTGGAGCTGTGACAAGTGACACACATCCAAGCTTACATTGGTTCTGAGCAAGTACTGAGTCAGAATGCCTCAGATAAAGATACGGCGGTGCCGCCAAGAGCGATCACGCAAGATTCGCAGAAGCAGAAGCAAGATGCAGCAAGTGTTGGAAGGAAGCCGTTTTTGGCGCAATTGAATAAAGTGACTGGCCATGGGATCATCGTGTCAACATACGTCCAAACACACAAAGACACGTGAGCTAGGTTCAAAATGAATGGACGCGGATATGAATAGTTACTCTATAGTCAGAAAACTTGGCTCAGGTTTTTGCAATGAGCCATTTATTGTGTAGGGAAAAATGCCTCTGGAACGAAAAAACCCAGATGCAGATGGCGCAAGCAATGTTGGGCAAAAACTGTGACAATGAATGGGAAAGTACTACTCGGGGATGGGTTTGGCGCCATCTACTTTTACAATCCGTTTCGTGAAAGACCGCTATAAAATTTTTGACCCTGAAAGCAGCAAGCACGACATTAGATGGCGCAAGCCACCTTTCCAACGATGTGTTTTGAGTGGTTTGAGTGAAAGGATTTTATTTTTGGTGAGAGCGGCGTTGCAAAGAAAATTGGCAAGAGGAAAGCCATAAAGCCCTAGCACCATAGATGGCGCAAGTGGCAACACTGTACTTTTGGAGATTGACTTGCTGTAAGGAAAGGAAAGGGAAGAAAAGGACAAGGTATTAGTTTGCTGACTTTTGCAATTAGACAAAAGGAGTTGCGCCATCTATTTGTTCAACCATCCTAATCATCTTTCACACAAGGGTTGTGCCATCTACTGGGCTATTATCGTGCAGCGTTCTGTTATTGGTTCAAGTGCAAGCGAAAGGAAACGGAAAGGTGAAGGGAAAGGCAAGGGAAGGATAGAGAAAGGAGAAGTGAATGAAGGAAAGGAAAGAAAAGAAAGGCATCCAAGGAGAGGGAATGGATAGGAAAGCAAAGGTCAGGAAAGGAAAGCAAACAAAAGACAAATAAAAAGAAATACTGTAGATGGAAAGACTAGTCCAGAAAAGGAAGGGGAAGGGAAGGGAAAGGAGAAGTGAACAGAATTAAGCAACAGGA